TTCTCTTCTTCAGGCTGAACAAGCCCAGCTCCCTCAGCCTTTCCTCACAGAAGAGATGCTCCAGTCCCCTCATCACCCTCGTAGCCCTCCGCTGGACTCTCTCCAGTAGCTCCTCATCTTTCTTGAAGTGGGGAGCCCAGCACTGGACTCGGTACTCCAGATGGGGCCTCACCAGGGCAGTGCAGAGGGGAAGGAGAACCTCCCTCGACCTGCTGGCCACACTCCTCCTAATGCACCCCAGGATCCCATTGGCCTTCTTGGCAACCAGGGGCTGATGCGATGCCACCCCAGCTGGGTGGCTGCAAAGGGATGAACACTGCACCCCCCAGCCCTCGGGCTGCTCCGAGCCTGGGGCCAGCATGGCTGCTCACTCCTTGTCAAAGGGCGCTGGAGGTCCCCCCGTGGCAGCACCTCCTTGGTCCCTGCAGCGGGCAGGACCTGAACCCCGAGATGTGACACCGGGCATGCACCGGGCACCGATCACTTGCCAAAGTCCCGGATCCTTTTAGCAAGGTTGGCGGCAATGTGGTTGTTCCTGGGATTTAGCACCCTCACAGATAGACAAGGGGATGTTGCCCTCGCATCACAGGGATGAAAGCCTCTAGAATTAAAAATCTTCATTTAAAATAGATCATTGATTAATGAAAAGAACCCCGACCTTCCCTTTTCCAAAACTCCCCACCTGTGGGGCAGAACAGGGTGCCGGGGTCTACTCACCACCCCCTCCCCAAAGCCCACAGGTGCCCCTGGTCCCTGCTGCCCACCCCGGGCTCAGCTGCCCGCGGTTGCAGGGTGATGCCGGCAGCTGGTTGCTCCCGCCTCCCCTCCCGGCTCCGCTAACAGGTAGAGCGAAGGGAGAACCTGCTGAGGTCTTGGGTCGGCAAAACGGGCAGCGCCTGGGTCTGTCCGTGGCCGAACCCCCTCCCCTGCCCGTGGACTGGCTGTGCTGGAGGCTCTGGAGCAGGATGGCTTTTCCCGCTGGCTTGCTTACAGCCCAAGAGGCGCAGGGTGCGTTTAACCCCGGCTGCAGTGTTTCTACCTGCTTCGCTGTGATCTCTGGAATATACAACCTCCTCTAAACACAACCTGCGGCGCTGCCGGCCCTGGCACTGTCCTGTGTCTGCGTCTGCCTGCGAGGAGCGGCACGGAGCCCGGCGAGAGGTGAGGCGGCTTTCCGTGTTCCCGTTAGCGCTGGCGCCTGACGAAAGCGGGTTTGGTGGCCGGGGCTGCTGGTGTGCTCTGCGAGGGGTTTTCTGCAGCAGAGTGTGTCAGCTTCCTCGCAGGCTGTGTTTCTACAGTGTAAATGCAAGTCTGATGCAGGGGGGGAGACTTTCAGAAGGTTTTTCTTCTGCTTCAGCTGCTTACTGTTGCTGGGGACCTGAAAATGTGCTTCAGGGATAAAAGTGGAGAGGCAGAGAAGGACAGGGGAAGAGAATGCTGCTTCCACCCCCTGCTATCAATTCCTAGGTCTCCTAGGATGCTATATACAAAGTTGAACGTTTAGCATGAATGGATGTGAAGGAATCAGGTGAGGCCCATGCACTGTACATGGTGCACAGGTCCCTGAAGACCTGCAAAATCGTGTTTTGCTGTCTTGACTTGCTGCCTGTCCAGTATCTTGCCCTGAAAAGCCAGCGGTGGTGCAGGGCAATGTGCAAGGAGCATGAGGGGAGCTGACTGATGATCTGCCCTAAATCGGTAAAGGGGGGGGGGGGGGGGGTGATGTGCAGGAGAGAGCCTGAAAGGAGAGGCACTTTGCATGCAGACGCAGCAAACGCGAAACCTCTGTCCAGGTGGAAATGTGCTCTTCTGAGGGAACACTTTTTTTGCCCTGGGCATTTTGTATTGTCTCATGTTAGCGGGTTCAAGGCTGGGGTTTGTGCTGGGCTCTCAAGAAAAACTGCCTGCAAGTAGATAGCAAAAACCGCTGTGTGTGAGCTATGAGCTGGGTAGTGCCCAGCCCCATGGTGCTCAGTCTCCAGGGTCTGGCCAGGGACACCCAGGAGCTCAGCTGTGCTAACGTGGAAGATGAAGATGCAGCTGGAGTCCTCCTGATGAGCTTGTTTCTGTAGATATAAACTCGGTGTTTTAAAGCTCAGCTAGAATGTCCTTTTTGTCACCACTACATTTCATAGTGTTTAAACAGCAAGCATGATCCTTTCCTGCCTCCTCAGGGCTGCTCGCAGCAGTCACTAACCCTGTCCCCTCCCGTACCCATCAGCATAACCCTCCTGTACCAGGTTAGGGGAGAAACAAACAATTTGGGGAAGCTGATTCTGCCACAGCTGTGAGACGTGGCACCACGACGTGTGCCAAGGCCCTGCGCTGAGGTATCAGCAGGCTGCCTAGCAGGCACGCTGTAGCAGCTGGGTCAGGGGGAAACAACGTTTTTCAAGCAGGGATACTTTTGTTTTGTAAATTAGCCTCATTGCTTGCTGTGTGGAGCCTGGCCACGCTGCCCCTGCCTAACTCCCCAGAGACCCTGCTGTAAAAGCACACTTTCCCACCTAGCAGCTCAGTTTCTCTACTTCAAGTCATAAATTCTATTTACTTCTAAAGAAGTTAGGAGCAAAAGTAGTTATCTTCTTGCAAGGAGTTAGTCCGGTTGCTGGAGCCCCTCTTGCACCAGCCACACAAATCCATTCTCTGAGAGTTGTGTGAAAACTTAGTGTGACCCCCAAGAAGAGCAGAAATCCCTAGAGAGGTCCTACGTGGCCAGAATAGAGAAATATCCATCACACCAGCTCATGAAGCAGCAGCGTAACTGAAGTCCACCGTGCTTTTAAGCAGCCTGGGCTTCCCGCTGGCTCTGGTGAGATCGTCTGCGGTCAGGTCGAGCTGGGTTTGCAACGGGGTCCAGCAGCTCCATGGCTTTGGGACTGAGGCCAGACCCTGCTCACTGCTCCGGCTGGAGGTGGCGGTACCTGCAGAGACCGGGTTGCCGAAGCGCTGCACCCTGCAGAACGCAACCGGGGCCTCGGTGCCCTAAAGCGACTCGTGCCGCGTTGGTTGGTGGTGGTGTGGCTTCCAGGGTCTGCGCGACACCTGGCCGGTGCGAGCCCTGTCCATGTCCCTTGCCCGCGCTGGCCCAGCGCCACCTGAGGTGCTCACCTGCCACGGCAGAGAAGTTGTCACCTGGCTTCAGGCAGTGTGCCGCTGTCACTACCCATTTCTCATTGATGATGGACGCACCGCAGAAGCCCACGCCGTGGCTGTTCACCAGATGGACCTGTGGGAGCGGAAGGAAATCACGCCCGTGGGTCTGCGTAAATCGGTGGGGAAGAAGGGTGGGATGCGAGGGTTTTGTCTGGCTGCAGGACAGGCTGTGCTTAGGCTGTGCAGACCCAGAGCGGCTGCTCCGCGGGGACCCCCTGCCCCTCCGTCCCTGCTCTGCCGCAGAGGTGGCCAGCACTG